TTACTGTGTTTGTAGATAGGGCAAAAGGATTAAGCGTTTTGAACGATGAAACTATCGTATAAAACCACGCGTGCTTGACCTATTACAACTTTTGTTTACTGGAAGGCTTGCTCTCCAGTTTTGTGTTGCTAAGCGGTATCCAAGCACGTGACCACTAGCTGCAAAGGGCCTATTGCCTAACAGCTGCATTTCCTCTAACATATGTCATAGTTTAGAATACACCTAATTGAAAAAACGTTGTCGGGTTGAAAAAAAAGGTCATATGGTCAAAGCTAAGATGGAAGGTTAGTATGGGAAGACAAGCAATTATGCTAATTTCATGCGTATTGCAGTTTTCTCTTCCTGTGCATATTTTATGCATCATGGCTTTGGCATGTTGTTAATCTAGGTCAACTGACTTTGCTCTACTTTGCATTTTTACATGTCTATATKCAATACGTATAATACACATTTCGGAGTACCCAAAATCCTTTTCGGTCTTAGCTTCCATGATATGACCTTCTCGAACCCAACTACCTTTTTCAATTAGGTGTATATATAGTTATGGGTCTAATTGTTTTAATTGGTTCTCATATGCATAGTTTTTGACAGCAGGCATTCATGTTTAGTAGTGCCTGCTTTTTTGTTTCATATCAAGTTTCTTTCCTGCCTGTCCACACTGGGTGTAAAAATCTGCCTCATATTATACACCCACTGATTTATTATATTTAAAAATATGATAAATAATAGTACTTTAATCAGTATACATGCAGCATTAACTATATTTCTTTAGTTGAGAAGGGGAGAGGAAGGCTTAACTTAAAATAAAAGATGGAAGGGGTTGTATGTATATGCAGAGCTGGGTTCGTGCTGCTCCTTAAACTCCTTGAAAACTCCTTGAATTTAATTCATGTTTTTAAGGGCACTTAAAAAGCTCTTGAATTTTATGATTTTAGCAAAACTCCTTGAAAACTCCTTGAATTTTTGCTTTGATCATTACTTGCATGGTTCTGAAATAGATCTACTATTGGAAAATCTGAAAGTTGGCCATGTACAACCACTGTGTAAAACCTTGTCATATTTAGCTGAACATACTCCTTAAAAATTCATTTTTGGGTCCTTGTATACTCTTTTAATAGTCCTTGAATTTTAAGTGGCTACCTCAGCACGAACCCTGTATATGGTAAATACTGTATCTTCCTCTAAAGACGGGCTGAGCTTATTAGAGAGGGTGCCGTACATGTTTCTTAATAGAAGATTTATGATATCTACTACATTAATCTTACATTCAGAGATATCTTGAGAACAGATTCAGCCAATACTGATGCTATTTATGTCAGAGGGTTATGTCTGTACTATCAGGTGAGATTATAAGTTAGTGATTTATATGAAGTCTTGACTTTTGTGCACTTGTAAATGGCTTTATTTCAGGTTTTATAAACTGCTATCAATCAAAAATGTTTAGTTGGTGAGCAATCAATAAATGATAGGAAAGAACAGTAGTTTATTATATACTAGTAATGTTTAGTAAAGCCGGTTGGGAATCAAAATTTTCTTTTTAAATTCACTTGTTGCATTCAACACACCAACACAATCCCAACTTAGTTAAGTAATCCAGTACCACTTGAAAGTTGGATTTCCATTGCTCCCTAAGTACAGTACCACTTTTGTAAGGTTAGGTTTAGTGCTATTGTTTGGATGACCAATCTATTGTTTTTTAATCCAATCATGTAACTCGTTCCAAGCAGTACGGGCTGGCTAACTTAGTAACCACTAGTCACTATCAGTGGTTTGTAGTGTTTGATGAATAATATGGACTATACTGATCTGTAAAGGAATTTCCTACATGTGCTAATCGTTCATACAGTATCATGTCAGACACTAACAGTTTATTTCTGTGTGTGTTACAAATGTTATATTATTAGGATAATGTTGAAAAGGCCTATCAACACTTTATACAAGTCATGAAGAGAGACCCTGACCATAAAAAAGCAAGGATTCTTCTTAAGGTAAATAAGCACCAATCTACTGTATCTTGTCAATTAAGCTTATCTTACAAATATCATGAAATCATAAGACTTATCCCTCAAAGGCATTTTGTTAAACATTACTAGCATTGACAGGGCAGAAAAACAGTTTTTGGCCTTTTGCCATAAGGACAGCTTTACACATTTAAGCTCAATATTTTATATAGCAAAATATCAAATGCAACCAAAATTTATTGATTGCGTATTTGGGATATAAAGCCATGTACTTTGGGAGAGGTGATACTTTGATCAACAGAAAAACTGACATTTTCCTGAATACTACTGTAATAAGTAGATTTACTCTAACTTGACAAAAATAATGGCCTTAAAATATAATATGCCTAAATATAAGTGTGTCCATTATGTAGGTACAGTGAAGTACACTTTAGGTGAGCACTGCTTGGATAGTTATTAAAGATGTAATTATGTTTCTTCAAGCAAATGTTTCTATGGAAAAAAATTCTGAGCTAAAGGCGGGAGGAATAGGAAGGTCACAGATTGGTATTCTGCCTGGAGCTCAGATTTTTTTCCAGAGAATTTGCTCAAAGAAACATAATCACATGTTTAACATAGCACTTGTTTATCCTTATAGAAAGCAAAGTCATTGCAGGCCAAGAAGAAGGAGGGCAATGATGCATTTGGTAGTGGTCAGTACCAAAAAGCTTATGATCTGTACACAGAAGCACTTGAGATAGACCCCCTTAATAAATATACCAATGCAAAGATATACTACAACAGAGCTGTAGTTGGATCAAAGGTTAGTGTTTTTAGGTGCAAGAAGCAAGGTGGTTGTTCTTTACTCCCCATACACTCCCAATAAGGAGTATGTCTCAGGATCCAGGGTCTAACCAAAGAGGTTCAATTTTAAATGGAGAGGTATGGTTCAAAGTAGAAATAATGTGTGGGTTGTTGTGAGTGTTAACAAGTACATCCAGTTGTGTATAAGTTCTCTCCCCTTGGGTTAGTATCTACTAGAGGCCCTTCCAGGATTTTGTTAAGGAGGCGAAAAGCTTTGATTGTGAAGTAATGTTTCAAATACAAGTTGCTACGCCTTGGCATTTGAGTATTTGACACATAAACATCTTATACTCTTTTTGTTATGTTTGTTTTTACTTCAAAGTTCTAGTACTTATTTCAAAGTCCGAGTAGTAGGACTTTGAAATATTTCAAAGTACTAGAACTTTGAAATGGATGCGGTCGTATTTGATGGGGGGTTCAAACTGCTGCACATGGTACCCTGGTTGGCCGATGAGCTCATGAATAATTAATGAGTATAAGATGTTTTGTTCAAAGTAAAATCAAGAGGCATTTGGAGAACCCTGGTTAATTTTTAAGACCGTAAATAGGAAGTATATATATCATGTTTAGTGATCTGCCAGCTAATTTAATCCAACCTTTCAGCAAAAAGCTTAACTATAAATGAAAACACATAAGCTAGATTTTGGTTCAAAATTACTTATTTCACAACAGGAAACATTTTCCAACTTATATTTTGAATTAGATAAACAAAATGGAGCAGGCTATAGAGGACTGTACAAAGGCTGTAGAACTGGACAACTCTTATACCAAAGCATACTTAAAGAGAGCTAACTGGTAAGATAGTTGATAGTTTGTTTCTAAATATGCATTTATATATATGTTCATATATGCTCATATATACTGTATAATTATATGAACGTATTATAAAATATATATAAATTTACTTTTTTGCAAATCAACTCTTGAAGTTGTGCTAAAAGTTATTTTTGTGCAAAATGACTGGGGGGAGGTGTGAATGTCAAAGTAGTTGTATAATGATTTGAGCGCTGTTAATTATCAACATCATTAAAGTCATCATCATCATCRTCATCTTATTTCACTTATTAAATTTTAGTTACATGGATTGTGAAAAATATGAAGAAGCTGTTCGAGATTATGAGTTATTATGCAGAAAAGACCGTAATTCAAGAGGTAGGTCTACAACAGTAAAAGTGTTACATGTACATGTATGAAAATAAATCCAGAAAAAATACCCTTTATTGACCTTTTCATGTTTGAGGTGTAAAAAAATTGTGTCTTCTTACAATTACTTGATCCTCGTCCATGATTTATTCCCCCCTTCCTTCTAGATTTTCTCAATTGTATTGTTAATGCAGCAGGAAGGTGTCAAGGAGATGCAGAAGTGATATATGCTAATGTTTTCTTCCTATGTTTTAGAATATCGTCGACTTCTTGAGAAAGCAAAACTTGAACTAAAGAAAAGCAAAAGAAAAGATTATTACAAAATATTGGGCATCAGCAAAACTGCAACTGATGATGAAATTAAAAAAGCATACAAAAAAGAGGCATTAAAGCACCATCCTGGTAGGTTTAAACATGGTGTTACTGCAGTTTTTGATATTCTACAAATTAAAGTCTTGAATATTTCAATGGCTTGTTGTAAAATAAATAGTTTTTTTTACTACCGCGAGTCGAGAACATAAAAGGTATCAACTGATTATTTTTGATTGATGGCAGCAAAAAAAATTACAAAGTTTTCTGAATATTGAAAACTGCAGTTAAATTTCAAACTTTGTCGGCTAAGAGTCTTTTTACTTTTCACACCCCCTCCCCCCCCCCCCCCCCCCCCCCCCCCCTGATTAATGGAATCAAGATTCCATGTGGTTTCATGAGGGAAAAATCAGCTTCTGCTGCAAGCTACACGTACTTGACACTTGCAAACACATGAATTATTAACAGTAGTTTAATGTTTTTTCTCGTACTCATTAATAATCCATGGGTAAACCAGCCAATCATTGGGCTAGGTTTTGGGTCACATGATGTTAGTTGAAACCTTGTAAAGTCCTGTGAAAGGACTGAATGAATTTTGTCCTTGGACTGGATCAAAATTAATTCAGTTCAGGGACATATCTGTCCCTTAAGTCTTTCAATCCTAAACAAAGAACCTCCCGAATTATTAATGAGTATGAGAAGTAATTTCAAAGTCTCCAAATCGGACTGGACGGGATTTCAAGTCCTTGCAATTAGTTCCAAACCTCGGCTGTGCCTCGGACTCCAACTAATTGTGCGGACTTGAAATTCCGTCTGTCCTAATTTGAAGGCTTTGAAATATTACATAATGTACAAATTCTATGACATAATGATCAATACCTTGAACTGACTAGCATGGCAATATGGCAGTGTTGATGTTTTATTTCTGTGTTTAATAAATCTGTATTGTGAATAACAGATCGTCATTCAGGAGCGACAGATGAAGACAAAAAGAAAGAAGAACATTTATTTAAAGAGGTTTGTATTAAAGGCATTTGAAAAATCTTATTCTAGTTCACAACATGGCTTCTAAAAAAGTTTAATATTATTATTGTACATCTTTTCTTTAATCAAATAATAATAATTCATATTTTCTATGGTTGTCGATGGTAGTTCCCATGGGGACACATTGTATTTGCCTTGTATTGACCCATTAGCCTCGCTTGTATGACTTCACCAACAATAGAATGTCCCTGAAGACTCAAATTTATGAACAGCCATTGGATGCATTTGCTGTTTTTTGTTTTTAGGTTAACGAAGCATACAGCATCTTGTCAGACCCCAAGAAACGATCACAGTATGACAGCGGTCAGGATCTAGAAGATTCTTTTGGTATGCATGAAGGTAAATATCCCAACCGCATAACCTTATTCCTTTCAACTGGAAACCAAATATACTAGCTTCCTTGCCAAAATGCAGGATGTCTGCATTATGTGACGAGATGCAGATACAAGGAAAGGGTTGAGGAGTCGTTAATACATCACCAGCTCATACACTTCCTTAGTACCCCCTCCCCTCCCCCTCCCTACTCCCCCGCCCATGATAGCTATGAACCCCCTTTTCGAACTTTGTTTCCATTTTTTTCTCTACAGATTTTGATCCCAATTCCATATTTCAAGCTTTCTTCGGTGGTCCTGGTGGATTCATGTTCAATTTTGGTGGTCCAGGTACAGTATTTGACATTCTTTAAAATATGTAATAAGGGAAAATTGTTGTACTCTAATAATGATATTATTCAGGGTGGCCATAACTCTGTAGAGCTTTCCAAAGAGACTTGCTATTTGATATCGTAGCATAAGAAAGATTAGGCGAAAAATTGATCTTCAGTAGCTTACAGCCACACTCATACGCTAACATGTCTCCTCTACAGTACAGCCCAGAAACGTGTACGTTAATCGCGTTTTTGTTGCTCGCGAGTAGATCGCATCTTTGCAGTCTTCTCTCACCTTTCTCTGATGTTGTTCGCGATCACAGTGTGTTACAAGTTAACGACAACTTTCTGTTCATCAAACTGCAAATATAGATTACCAAATTTTCTAGAGTGCGTACCATATATCCGTGTAAAAGTGATCAGCAAAATTGTACAAATTAGTGCTGCTGGGTCTGCTGAACTTACTAATTTCTTACAAAGCTTTTCACATATATATGGCGGTATGCACTCTAGTATTAGTCTAGTCTAATAGATCAGATTATCCATCATTCTAAGACTATCTTGGTATTATTATCAGGTGGAGGACCTAGCGGATTCCCGGGTCATGGTGGCGGTGGATATTCTCGTGGAGGTCACAGTGGTTTTAATTTCACATATGGATAGCAAGCTTCGCGATTTAATCGTTAGTCTTCGTAGAGGCCGTAAGGAAACGATCCTTGAGAAAGTACTGTAACCTGACTTGCCAACCTATGGAGGGAGGGTTCGGGAGAAGAGGAGAAATATTCTTTCTGTCTAGAAGC